GCATTATTAGCATGAGCATGAGCATTGGTGAAGCAAGCATAGCACCGACTGGCAGCAGAGCCCATGCCACGGCCTGTCAGCGCAGCCCTATGACGACGACGGCTCTGCGTCCCCCAGCCCAGGCATCGCAGACAAATGCCAGCCAGCGCTGGCTCTGCATCCCTAGTCCTGCCACTTATACCTTGCTTGCCGCAACCTAGCCAGACCGACAGTCTTGCCATCAAATCGCCATGCCGCGAAGTTGCAGCTTCAACCAGCACATCATGCTTTTTCCCTCTCTTTTGTTCGGGGGGACCCGGGCCGGTCTTGGTGTGTCTGGTGTGTCTCTGTCGGATTTGCAAGTTGCGAATCGGCGTCCATGGCCGTGTATTTCGAGGCGTGCGAAGCCGGCCGTGGTCAGCGGTGATTTGCCGGGCGTGAGGGCGGAGAGACGAGCCCAGCAGCCCAGTTGTCCCGGCGCACGGCCTGGAGCCCCCCCGGCTGTCGCATCCTGCTCATCATTCAGTGTATACTAGTAGTAGAGCTCGACGACGACACGAGCAAGCGGATGCTGTGGCAGTGGCCGCAAGGGAGCCGGCGATGAATGCTTGCCGCATGGGGCTCTGGATGCGGTGGATTCGACGTGCCTGCCTGCGGAAAACCGGGCAAATTTGGGCCATGTGTGCTACAATTAGTACAGACGCGCGCTAGGCCCGGATGGGCGAGGCCCAGCACTGGCACTAAGAAAAGTACCGCCCGGGAGTCCCCTGCCTCTTGCGCTGCCTCTGCCCTGTACCTCTGCCTTGTACCTCTGCCTTGTACCTCTGCCTTGTACCTCTGGCACCGGACCCCGACTCTACCGTCACGCCCTCCCCCGAAAGGCGGCAGCGCCACCCCCCCGACACTCTGGGTCTCCCCCCCGCTCTATCCGCTTCATCCCACTCGCACGCAGCCTGCAGAGCCTCCCACACCATCGCCTACGAAGTCCTTTGAAGCCACGCCCCCCGGACCCCCTGGACGGGATACGCCAAGGTACACGAGCGCCCAGAGCTCCAGGGCACACTCCCCTCCCCCTGCCGCAGCGACATGGCCTGCAGACACAGCCAGATCCAGCCCAGGAGCGCGGCAGGGCCTTGTACCTGCTCTACGCCCACTCCCGGGGCACCGATCGGTCATGCTCGAGGGGAGAGACGGGATGGGCCTGTCACGGCTTGTGCACGCCTTCGAGCCTCACGCCTTCACGCAAGCCTCCAAGCCTTGAGCCCTTCACTCCACGCTCCATGCCGCACGCCGCAACGCCGCACGCCCTGCTGCTCACACGCTCCCCTCCCACGCTCAACGCAACTCCCAGACCTCACAGCAACGCTAATTACATAGCACGAAGCCCTGCAGCAGCGTCAGTCCAGGGTCTCCCAGAGCGACACACACCACACTCACACACACTGAGCTCTCAGATAAGTCGAGGATCTAGTATTTAACTCGCGTCATCCTCCCATCTGTCCCAGCCCGTCATGCCCATTCCGATCCAGCAACCGCTCAGACTCCCATCTGTCTATATAATATCAATCGACCTTCTCATCTCCATCATCCCAATCATCCATCTCATCTCTTCTCTTCAAGACAACATCTAAGCGAGAGCCTCCAGTCACTTGGTCATCTCTTCCCCTGCATACCAGCACCACCAACAGAGACCGCCTCGCTTCATTCTTCGTCACCCCTCCTATCACAGCTTGGGTCGACGACAGTGTCCTATATACACCACATCAGCTCCCAACAACCGCCAACCAACAACATCACCGCAATTCTCAGTCACAATGGCCATGTACGCCATCTCACAACAGCACCCCTACGCCTACGCCGCAGTCCCGGCACCGGCTCCTCCTCCTCCCAGGCACTGCTCCAACCACGGCACCAGCAGCGCCTTCAGCAGCTCTGCGCACCCTGACGAGGACTGGACCAAGATCTCAGACCTTGCCGAGCGCAGGAGGATACAGAACCGCATTGCTCAGCGCAACTACCGTATGTTCTCAGCGAAAGAATGGGGGGAAGCGTAGTCTTTGGGGAATGACTCTAACACTCTTCTTCTGCAGGCAAGAAGCTTAAGCGCCGTCTGGAGGACCTTGAGCGCCGCGCTGGATCCGAGGAGGGCGACGCTGAGAAGCAGCCTTCGCCGGTGCAGAGCACCACCAGCCCCAGCAGCAAGGTCACCAAGCGCCAGTCCATCTCCAAGGCACACAAGGCTCACCAGCCTGCTCCCGTCCGCCTGCCGACGCCCCCCAAGGCCATCGTGTCCCAGGGCCAGTTTACTCCCCCCATGGAGTCGCACGAGGAGCTGGCCTTTGCTCCTCCCGCCTACCACCACCACGACGAGCGCGAGCGCTCCAACACGCCGCCCGTCTTCTCCTACACAACCTACCCGGCCCCCGACGAGCTGCTCATCAACCCTTACGGATCTGCCCACGCCTATCCCACCATGACCAGCGCTGAGGCCTACCCCAACTACCTGGCCGCCACTGCCATGCCCGCGTCGCTGCCGCCTCTGAGCCACTACAGCGAGCCCATCAAGCGCGAGCTGTATCCCGACAACGTCATCAGCCCCTACATTGGCTACGGCTTCATGCCGACTCACGACATGGGCATGCCCACTCCCTACGACCCCTCCAACCCTCTGGTGAGTTCGGCTAGGCATCATTTCTCCTACTCCCGGGATCTGCGTTGCTGATTCTGAATGCCACAGACTCCTCCTCTGTCGCACTCATACGACCACTCGGCTGCCTGCTCTGAGACGGGCTTCGAGTATCCCACCACCCCGCTGTCCATGCCCGGGTCTCCTGCCATGATCCAGCACCAGCACTGATCGGATGCAACGCAAGAAACACAGAAAACGCAACCAAAAGAACAAAAAAAAAAGCAAGAAAGACCAGAAAATCAAAAACCAGACATCATTTTTTCTTATATTCCCCGTCATCTACACTCCGACGTACATATATGCACCGTCTTGTCACAAAACAACAAGCTCTTCAATCCTCCCCTCCGCCACTTCGCCTGCCACCGGCGGTGATGTGGTATCACGAAAAATGATTTCTGGTTTTACGCAGGGGGCTTACAGCACACGACCAGTGGGCAATGGGTTTTTCATGAGGACGAATTAGCATGGCGATTGTGGGTCTCGTTCATTTCTTCTTGGGGAGCTCGGATGAGCTCAAATTACTTCTTCGATACTTTTGTGTTACCATTTTTTTTCTTTCTTTTACGAAGTGGAAATCGGGATGACCTGGAAGATGGGCTGGGTTGGTTGGCGGGCGTTCCAAGGAGCAACGGATTGATGTGATGAGCATCTCATCTGGCTTGATCTTTTGGGTACATGTAACTCTTTTAACCTGATTGCAGAAGCACAGGTTTGTTGGATATAGCTTCTTTTGTTCTTTCTTCTTTGTTCATCCTCTTTGGAATGATTTACTAGATATCCTCACCGGACTACTCTGCCGGACCGGGCACTAGAAGCGTGCTCAAAATAACAAAAAAAAAAGAACACACATTGTTACAACAATCACAAGCTTGCCTCTCTTGATACCAAACGTGATTTCAAATAGTGATGTCGATAGCTCTGAGCTTTACCGACCCTACGGACGAGCCGGCCATGCTTGCCGAGACGATGGCTTGAGAGGCTTGAATTCACAGCCCAACTGCCATGTGGACGAGCCACACAACAACACGCACACCACCCACCCACTCCCACGACTTAGAGAGCAGAGTGAGAGAAGGGAAGATGCGGCCGCAGCGGTAAAAATAGTAGCGCCACATGCGCCCGGCGCCTGGTGTGCAAGCGAAGGCCCGTTGCTTTTTGGTGCCCTTTCGACTATTTTATTCTATTTTACCAATTTGTTTTTCCATGGCTTCTTCTCTTTACGGAAAGTTTTCGCGGGGAGACTTTTGGTTGGGTCGGAAGAGCGGAGCTCTTCAACTTCCATTATGTCTTGTCTGTCTTCGTCTCTCTCACCCATTCGTTTCCTTCCTTTGATAGGCTACGCTGGCTAACACCTATCTTCGTACGTGATATCTACTACGTGATGGGCACGGTGGGCTTGATGATGTGAGGACGGGGTTTACTCGATTCTGTTTGTCTTCTTCCTATCTGACTGCGGCGAATCGTTTGCCTGCCGGTGCTATCACTGCCGTACTGTCTTGTCGCCGTTCGGAAGGGCAGGATGTCTTTCGGCCATGCCTCTTGTCCAACTTGCTTCTTCCCATTCTTCCTTTGCTTCTAAACCCGAACGCCAACTCTCATAGATACCCTCTCCTTCGGTATCGTGGGTGGTGCGCCGCGCCGCCACGCTCGTCACCCATCAAGCACGTGGGAATGGAGGCGTTCGGTTGAGCTCGCGCGAATGTGATTTGGCATCCCATCGTGCACTACGACTTTTTGCCCTCTTTCTTTTGCTTCTTGGCGTGTTCTGGCATGTGCTTCGGTGGCTTGCCTCGGACTTTACTCTTACTTCCTTTGACAGGTATCTGGGCCATTCTCCGTCGCCCGTCGTCCGTCGGTCGGTCGTCCGCCCTCCGTCCTCGACCTACTGCTGCCCTACCTACCTTAGTAGCAGTGCTGTAGCATCTTCGGGGCACCTGGAATGGATGGAAAAATCCCGAGCATCTGGAGATGAGGGCTGCCCCGGAGTATTCTTCCTCCGTCGCAACGGCCGCGCCCGATCGGAGGCTCCGTGCGACACATCACCTGCCTAGCCTTAGCCGAGCGCTGAACTCTACCTTAGTCAGGCTCCGGTTTCGAGCTGCTCTGCAACCTTGACCAAACAAGGCTACCGCTGGCGAGGCTACCAGCCTTCTTGCATGCCCCGACAACCTTGGGGGAAAGCCTTTTTTGTTCCCATCGCTTGTCCGTTACATACGTTTATCCCGATTAATAATTCCAGAGAGACATAACGGCTTTTGGGTTGTCTTTTTCTTGATCTTGAAACCGAGAGAACCGCCGCCGCGCCCTATCTTCTGAGCCCACGATGCGCGCCATGACTAGCAGTAGCTGGGAGCAGCTGCTCTATCTGTATGGTGGAGACCAGTAAGAGAACACCTCTGCCCCCCCCTCCTCCTCCTTGATGATGGGCTCGCTCGCTTCTATCCGCTCTTGTATCCATGTCATAGCTGTCATACCTATCTGCCGCGAAACGGCGTCGCCTCTTGTTGTTCTCACCCCTCGCTGTTCCCTTTGTGATATGCACACTGTGACAGCCCTATCGCCCCCTCCCTAGCTTGATGATGACATGCCTGGATCGGGCATGAGTCGGATGGGCGTTGGGGAATCTAGACCGAGATGGATGGTTTTTGGCTTGCTGCTTGCTGTTTTGCTCTGTCGTGGAATATTCCATGTGCCCCTTTGTCGAGCGTGTATGACCGGAGGAGATGGAGAACGGTCAAGGTGAAGCCATGGAGGCAAACAAGCGTGCAAAGCTATGAGAGCAACCTGTGGCTAACTGAAACTCGCCCCCATGGGGCCCCGACCTTGAACAAAGACCATGGGACTCCTTGCTATGGGTCACCTCAGACGATCGAGTTCGCGGAGGCGCCAGCAAGTCCCACCTCTTCGTGGTGAACCCCGAGAGGGCCCGCTTCTACGGCCATCTGGATACCAAGACGCTGGGCGGCGCCGGCTTCGCATCGCAGCATAGCCTGGGCGTTCTGGACTGGAATCTGTCTGGCTACGATGGCATCGTTGTTTCGGTGGCTCAGGCCGATGAGAAGCGGTATGCCCTGACGCTCAAGGACGCGATACCGCCGCGGAGAGACGACGGGCGCGAGGAGGCGGGCATCAGCTGGGAGGCCATCTTCACGGTGTCTCGGGAGGGATCTCAGTACGACATGAAGAAGGTCTATCTGCCGTGGAGCGCGTTCAAGCCGACCTATCGCGGGAGGCCGAAGCCGGACGCGAAGCCGCTGGATCTGGCGCATATCAAGAGAGTTGGTTTGATGATGCGAAGGTGAGAAGACGTCCTTGGACTTGCTCGTTTATGTTTGACGTTCCAATGTCCAGTTATTGACTTGAGTTGCTTGACAGTTTTTTTGATGAGCAAGATGGGGACTTTTCCATTGACATTCATGCCATTGCCGCATGGAGAGAGATTTCAGATGGCAGGGCAGAGACAGCAGAACAGGGAGACGAGGATGAAGACGATCCCAAGGTTGCTGCGGAGGCTGCAGCGGGGAAGAAGGTGCACTCTCGTCGGCGTGTTTGGCTTCGACGATTGCTGTGTGGTTTGCTTTGAAGGGGTTTGCTTCAAGGGAGTGGTATTGATAGGCAACGAGGGGATAAAGCATATAGTCTGAGCATGTTGTCGTGACTTATGACAACTTGTACGGATAGGCAACTCTTATACCACTAATGATACCAACTGTTTGCCTTCTCAAAGGGCCAATCTCTTGCTTTCAATGCAAATTGATCATCCTGACAACGAGAGTCACTGCACGGTGACTGAATGTGCGAATAGCTTCTTGCAGCTGCATCACGGTGCCGGTGGCATCGATGTCGTCACCGGTTCGGCGCAATCGAGCTCCTTCCCAAACGAAGCTCTGAAACAACCAACACGCGTTCCTTCCCTTCCAATTGGAGCCTGCAATGATTCATCAATCCGATTATCAAACCGCACCCCCTCACTTCTCGCACTCATGTCAACCGATACCATCCTCCTCTCTTCCATTCTTCAAGAGACCTCTCTTGACACTTCATGATATTCTTACCACCACACGGCATCAACTCGACGGCTATAACCCACTCACCACAATATACAGTCAGACTCTAATCGCCCTTTTATCAGCAGCCACGACGCTCATCCTCCTTACCGACTTGCACTCCCCCTCCAGCGGTCCATAGCCCCCTACATAGCCACCGCCCTCGCCCGCCAAGGCTGCCGTCGTGATCTCCTCACTCATCGTCTCCCGGAACGGAGCGCTACTTGGACGTCTCCGGCTCCGCGATCCTGTCTGGTTGTCGGCGCGCGCTAAGTCTTTATCTCCCCGGGCTGTCATCCCGACCTGCTGGTACTGGTGGCTGATTGCTCGTGCGGGAGCTGCTTATGCCGCTGCTTTGCTGGCGCAAAGGAAGCTTCCTGGGCTGCTGCTGCTGCTGCTGCTGCCGCGCGTGCTTGACGTGCTGACGGGCGTCGGGCGGGTGGTGGTGCGGGTGCGGATGTCGCTCCGGGAATGCTGAGCTGGGAGCTGGGAGGGAGCTCGCCGTGGCGGGAATGACAAGCTGCGTGAGCAGTTGCGGCATGAGCTCTCTCCGCAAATCTCCCTGTAATCCCGGATTGTCCTAAGCCGAGGGTTTGGATAGTTATTCCCAAGACAACACACGCACGCATACACACTGCCTCCTTCCTACCTATCTGCTGGACGAAATGAGACCGAAACTAATTGCTCTTCCACCACCAAGCACAGTTGGCTGCTTTCTCTTGTACCGCATTCTCACCACCGGCCATGATTCCAGATTTATTTCCATCCGCCACAGGCCCTCAAGAGAAGCGAGAGCCTTCTATCCTCCGCTGCTTGGGATTCGCTCGAGCTTGTGCCGGTGATGATGCCCAAGCGCATTCCTTCGTCTGTGTTGGCTTCTGCCCTTCCCACGGTTATCGCCATAGATGTGATTGGTATATCGTTCTAGCTTGCCAGATTCAGATGTGAAATACTGACACGTGCGTAGACGAGCAAGTGGTGACGAGAAGCAACTGAGCTACATGATGAAGCTTTCATGATAAGCAGACTATTCTAAAAGAGGCACGTTTCTCATCTCACATACATACTCCGATTAATCAACAACCTGAACGCCCCCTCCAATCCTCCCCCTGACGGAAAGATTTTACTCAGGGAGCATATACCTGACGGGGATGATTGACACTCGATTCACCTTGAAGGAAATCATCCTTTGGACCGGTCTTGCCACTGCGACTGCCGGCGTCCTCCTCCGGCTGCCCATCCAACAGTCTCTAAGGCCTCTCGGGGTCACGCTCTGGGCATTCTCATGATCTCCGTTCTGTGATTCGCCGGTCCTATCCTTGCGGCATTCTTGCCGGTGAAAGTGTCTGGCATAGCCCTGTCTAAGGCAAAAGCATGACAGGCTGTGCGCAGATGGAAAGGATTATCAAGGATGGAGGAAGAATACGCAGAGGCTCTTCACGATTACGATGGCGCGAACTTCGTGCCTCTCCAATCAGGCAGAAAGGGCAGGCAAACTTTGCAGAGACCGAGGTGAGTCCCCCCTTTCTCCTCGATTCACCTTGAACTTGATATGGGCATAACAGATGTATATGATGTTTATATATTTGGAAGAATATGTGCTTTGCCTTCAGCCCATAAGGATGAAGACTGATATAGGTCATGCTTGGTACATATCAACAGGCCATGATGCAATTCCCTCTCGTTTTGCTTTCACACCACCTGCCCCTTTCCGTTCCCTACTTTTGCGCGACTCATTTGTAAAAGGATTTGACCTTTTCAATCTCGTCGTAGCTACCCAAGAAGATGCCTGACCGGTCGTGGATGTGCTCTGGTACAACCTCGAGCATTCTGTTCATTGTGCTATCGACGGCTTGGCCACCAGCTGTCACATATCAAGTTAGCTTCAGCTGAGATCGACATAAGATGTGGAGGAAACTCATTGGCACTCACCATTCTCAAACACCATGGCCATGGGCGCACACTCATAGAGGATACGCAGCTTGCCCTTTGGGCTCTTCTTGTCCGCCGGATAGGCGAAGATGCCTCCGTACAGAAGCGTTCGGTAAGCATCGGCCACCATGCTGCCGATGTAACGGGCACTGTAGGGCTTGCCGTCTTCTTGGGCCTGCTTGAGAGAGTTGAAGTAGTTGATGGTGTGGTCCTCCCAATACAGGGAGTTGCCCTCGTTGACGGAGTAGATGTGGCGCGACCTGGGAATGCGCATGTCGGGGTGAGTGAGGATGAACTCGCCGATGCCGTTGTCGAGCGTGAAGCCATTGACGTTGCTGCCCTTGATGGTCATGACGAGCTGGGCGGAGGCGCCGTACATTGTAAAGCCGGCGGCGACGAGCTCGGTGCCGGCCTTGAGGATGTGCTCCTTCTGGGCGACGTCGACGCCGTCGGGGATCTTGTGAATGGCAAAGATGGTGCCGACGGAGACACCCGCGTCCAGGTTGGAGGAGCCGTCGATGGGGTCGCAGGAGACGATGTAGCGGGCGCCGTGGGCATGGGGGAAGTGGATCTCGTGCTCCTCCTCCTCGGAGACGAGCATGGCGACCTTGCCGCAGGAGCGCATGGCCTCGATGAAGAGGTCGTTGGAGATGACGTCGAGCTTCTTCTGGTCGTCGCCGGTGACGTTGGAGGAGCCGGCGAGGCCGGTCAGGTTGACAAGGGTGGCGCGGCGGATGTAGTAGGCGATGGACTTGAAGGAGTATTGGAGGGCATGGCAGAGGAGTCTGGCAATGGTGGTTAGTCTATGGCTGCGATGTGGTTTGATGGGAGTTTGAGTGACAGCAGAACATACGTAAAGTCTCCGGTGGCTTCTTTATGCTTAATCTGCTCCTCGGTGAGGAACCGAGTGAGGGTGATGATGTGAGTGTTGACTTTTTCGCCCGTGTCGGTCATGGTGGCGGTTATGATGTAATTGGGTTGGAGAGCTTCGTTACAAGTTGGGAGAGCTTCTTTGGGTGGTGACTGTATATCAAAAGATGACAATTGATGGCTGGCTGCCGGAGGTGTGTTTGGGAAGGGCAATTGGTCTGAAGGAGAAATTGGAAAAAGAATTGAGTTTTGAAAAGTCAAGAAGAAAAAGGGGGCGATCGTTGGAGAAACAAGTCCTGAAAGTGGTGTTCGTAATTGTGGTGTAGGTCACTTTTTGCCTTCCTTGCTACTAACACTGGGTCTCGAGAGTTGAGTGCTCCAGCAGTTATATGGAGCGATGACGCGGGGTATCGGTATCGTGGGGTTTCTTTTGGAGAATGACTTCGGGAGAGAGGACAACGAACAGCTGCTACCCACTGGTATATAAGGAAGGGAAAAAAAAGAGAACAGGGGGGGTTGAGGAAGAAGAAGAGAAGGAGAAAAAAAGAAAGGAATGATTTGTTTTTGATTACGGGATAGCTTTTTGATCACACGACGCGCCAAAGCTGGGCGTTTTTTTCCCTTCCGGCCGGAACTAGATGGGCAAATGGGCTTGTGCGCAGGGAACTTTGCTTCGATTCATAACATAGTAACATGGACGGCTACTCTAGGCCTTGACTATTACTCGCTCTGTGCTTTGGTCCCCTTTTTTACAAGGGGGAGAAGATGGGGGGCATTATCAAGTCTTAGTAAAGCAGCGGCAAATCAGAATGTGAAGCAATGGGAGCAGACATGATATAACCGACTATACCGAAGGGGACCGGGACCCGGAACTGGAAGACTCGGGGGGGCGCGGTTTGCTGGCTACGGCACTTGCCGGATGAGGGGAGCTTTTTCCTTGCCTCCAATTGGTTCCTCCTCTCTCCCACTGAGCTTTTCTGTGCCTCATTCCTTTACTGAGCAAGGAGAGGAAAAGGGAACAGATGGGGCCCCGGCTCAGCCCGTGGGCCTGGATTCATGACGGTGCTTCCGTCCGGTATAAGTTGGAAGAGGATTTCCCGGGAAGACAAACAGAAGGACGAGACGAGACGAATTGAAGGTTTGCCCGATTTGGGGGCGTCCACGTGCGGGTCCTTGCTGCAGCTCGGGATTGAGAGGAGGGGAGAGAGTGCCGAGGGAGTTCCGGTGCTGTAGGTACATACAGTAGGTACTGCCTATGATGCGGATGGGGTAATGGTTAGGTAAGGGTCGTTTGGGAGTGGGGAGGAGGAGCTTGGGCTTGTTTTCCGGTGTATTGCCGGCTTGACATGCTTGATGCTTGCATGATGGCATGGATATTCGAGTGATTACATAACGCAGGCGGTAAGTACCGCCCCTCTTGAATTACCTAAGCCTGGCCTGGGCTTCTTTTCTTCACGTGCAAAAAAAATGCTGCTTGATGCCTTTCATGTTTCTCCCGGGTCTAATCCGGCAAAACCTCAAGGTAGTACCCCAGTTGTTTCAACCCTTCATGTCTGAGAGTTTCTCCAGCTTTTTTCCCCCTTCTCCAGGAAAAATTGTGGGGAGCGCGCAACGAGCCCATTGAAAGTTACCTCGGCATGTTTTCGCCCAGCGACAAACCACACCCAACTTCGAACTGCCGTCGTCGGCTTTGGCGACCCTTTTTGTTGGATAGTAGGCGGTTTGTGGTAGTTCGTCTTACAAGCCCGAAAGTTGACGGCTAAATCAAAGGTGAGAGCATCTCTTTTTTTTTTCTCTTTTCTCCCTCTTTTTACTTTTTCTCGTTCGTCTGTGTTATACCGCTTCGACCGGAACTTGACGGGTTGGTTAGAAGACCGCCCTTTCGATTTCCTGCTTTTTTGCTTACTTACTTACTTACTTGTTCTACGACTCAGGTGAAAAAGGAAGAAGAGAGACGTCACCGAGACCGGCATTCATACCGAAACTTGCAGCCGACGACGAACCGTACGATTTTCACCTCCAAACGAAGCGCGTGCCACACTCTACACCAACTCAAACCACCCAACAACTCATATAACCTCAAAAGTCAAAACTCCTCCTCCTTGCCTCCCAAAGAAAATACAAATCCATCACAAACATCGAAAACCACTCGCAACCATGGTCGTCGACACCCTCGTCTACCACCCCACGGTAGCCCACTACCAGCGCTTCGTCGCCACCACCGTCGGCCGCGACAAGATCCTCCGCACCCTGCAGTACTTTGCCCGCTTCTACGCCTGGTACCTGCTCCGCACCAACGGCTCCCCCTCGCAGATGGCGCCCTGGAACGCCGTCAAGAAGCAGTTCGGCCTCGTCCGCAAGGTCATGCGCGTCGGCAAGAACGTCGAGCACCTCCGCGCCGCCGCGCAGGCCGCCGACGCCAAAGCCGTCGAGCCCTTTTTGCGCTACGCCTCCGTCGGCCGCCAGCTGGGCTACGCCGGCTACCTCACGCTCGACTCCCTGACCGTGGGCGACGCCGCCGGCATCAGGAAGTGGCGCCATGCGCAGACGCTGCAGCAGCATGCCTATCGCTTCTGGGCCATGGGGCTCGTCTTCAGCATCGCCGCCCAGGCGTACACTCTGTACCGCCTCAAGCAGCGCGAGGCAAAAATTGACCGCAAGGACGGCGAGGGCGTCGTCGAGAGCAAGCGCATCCTGAAGTGAGTGTTACACAACCAATTTACTCTGCCTCAATAACAGTTCGGGACTAACAACGTGGAAAACTAGGGAGCGAGCCGCCAGCCATCTCCAGCTCATCTCCGACGTCTGCGACTTGACCGTCCCCTCCGCCGCCCTCGGCTGGGCTGGCTTTGACGACGGCTTCGTCGGTCTGGCCGGAACCGTCAGCAGCTTGATCGGCGTCTATACCCAGTGGAAAAAGACCGTCTAGGCTAAAAGAGAGATGTTGAAAGATATCTGCTTCCTTGTTTCCCAACCTCAGCGCCCCTCTTGGAAAAGACTGGATGTCATCGACTTAGAGAAAGAAGGATATGCGTGTGTATGTGCGTGTGTGAGTACAGAAACAAGTTCGCGGCGCAAGCTGGGTTGGATAATGCCAATAGCGACAATTGCCCCCCCGGGGAAGCATCCTTGACACAACTGCTCAAACTACGGAGTACATCTGCGGTGTTTATCGCGTCCCATCACTGTTATCTCTTGGATCTGCATCTTTCTGATTTGAGTCATGTATTGTTTGATAGCACGTATTTTGAGTCGACCTATCTCTGTTGCAAATGTCAAGTAAAGTTGGAAAACAGAAAAGTAAAAAAAAAAAAAGAAAGCATCAAGTACAAAACGAACAAAGACCGAGTAAATCCGTGCGTAGTCCCGTTACATCGTACAGCCTGACTCTTGCCTCCCATGTGATATCATTTGCTGCGGGATGTTCCGCTTGCCGTCGGTTTCAGCAGTCCCAGGCCAGTCTGCTTGTCAGGGCCTCGGTCCTGGGGCCCATCCTCCGGTTTTCATTCCTATCGAAATGGCAAATAGCAGGCTGCTCGATCCATCGATGAGGTTTCAAAAAGCTCCCACCACCGCCCTCATAAGCTACAAACCTGTAACAACCAGCCACTCTAGGCTATCGTCCAGCCTTTCCGGACCGAAACATTGGCGTGAGGTAATCTATCACCTTAGGTCAAGGCCAGTTCCGCCAAGATAGCGAGCGCATGTGTAATGCAGACACACATAGAAACGGGCGGCGGGGGGAGAGAATAAGAGAGCTGTATGACGTGGGCTCTGAGAAGAAAAGGAATAGAGAATCAAATTTACCAGTAGCGCCCGCCACGATCGTAGTCACGCGCATACCCTCCCTCTCTGGGGTATGCTGGCTCCCTCGGAGGAAATTCCCTTGGAGGTCGATCATACGCAGGTCGGCCGCCGTTTACATAAGGGTCGGCAGGTGGCGGGTAATCACGCCGGTAAGGCTCTTCATAGCGTCCTCGGGGCGGCGGGTAATCCTCCACCGGTCGACGAGGGGGTGAACGATAGCGCGGAGCCCTGTCATCGTAGTACTCGCGACGAGGGCTTCGATCGCGGTAGCTGTACGCCGGAGGTGCTTCGCGACTGTAGCCTCGGTGTGGTCCTCCTCGGCGATCGTAGTTATCAAACGCTGGGGGCGGGTAGGGCCGGCGTCCTGGCGAGCGGGATCGGGCACGGTCTCGAGGTGGCATGTCGGGTTGAGTCTAAAGACGTCAAGAGTCAGCAAGCGGCTCAAGAGAGGGACACTGGTCAGAAGAGCCACGTCTGTAACTTACGTCGACAAGGCACTGGACGCGACTTCCTTTGAATTCGCGACCGTCCAGCTTTTCAATAGCAGTTCTCAGGTCTGCGGCAGTCTCAAATTCGACGAAGCTAAACGGCAGTTTGTTAGCAGGCATCGCTGATGCTAAGAGAACCGAACACAAACGTACCCTCGTCCATTAGAGTCCCGGCCAGTCTCAGAGTACACCACATCAAGGCTTGATTGACGGGCGAAATCTTTCAGGTCCTAATCGCAAATCCACGTAAGTCGGTGCCACGGAGGAACGCCTCGAGATAAAAAGTCCACGTATCGGTAAGCCAAAAAAAGAAGTACGTCCGTCAAGTCAGGAACCAAGGATGCCAGGCCGGAGTCGCGAGTCCAGAACGAAGGGGGAGGGAAGGACGATGCGGGGCACATGTGGCGGCCCGATGCAAGGCATGGCAAACCAAAAAGCTCCAAGTAGATGATGGAAAAGGCACGCAAGTCCCGTGGAGTCCAGGAGCAATAAACTGGGAGAGGGAACAGACCTGCCAACTGGTATCATTCGGAAGTCCCGTAATCTGCATTCGGTGAGGAGTTCTACGCGGTCGCGGCGGAGCACGCTCGTGCCCCATACCGCCCTCTCGGTGTCGAGTTCCACGGGCAAACTGAACAGTGAGGCGTTCTCCCATAAAATCGGATCCATCTTGATTTGTATTGTTAGCGACGAAGCGGAACGACGACGACGGGAGGGAGGATGTTGGAGCAATGACATACGGAAAGCTATATCACGGTAGCAAAGCGCGAATGGTTAGCAACGATCGACCGTGCGGCAGGCTTTGATTGAACACGGGCGGGCGAACCTGGGACGACATCACGGGCATCCATTGCATCCTTATACTCGATGAAACCGAAGCCATTCATCAGCTTCACCTCGGTGATCTCTCCAGTGCCGTGGGTCGCAAAGTGAGCCTCGACATCGGATTTGGTAGCTGCCGGAAACCAGTTAGTGGGAGCCACGGGGATCGGGAGAGCAATGGAGATGGACCATGTCGTGGGAGGTTTCCCAAGTACAGCCTGGTGGACGACACCTCAGTCATGGCGACGACCTATCGAGCCCGCGTCTAGTCAGATGGGAGATGAAGAGTCCGGAAACCTCTGAACTGCTTCTCTGCAGCACCTGGGGCCAGGATATTGGTTCCTTTCCTTCAAGGGTCCGGCAAATCGTCCAAGGACACGACTGGCGAAACAAACAAGCGTAGAGGCCAAGCGGATGAAGAAACGAGGAGACGATTAACAGCTAGCGGGAGGGGCTGACAATCGAGTGCGAAGCTGCAGTCGAGCGAGAGCGAGGAAGAGAGCCAAAAGAGCGAAAGAGGCTGGCGGCTGCAAGGTTGCGAGGATGCGAGGACGGTCAGCGGCGGCAGAATCGCCGAAAGCGGCATAGCAGGCCCCGCGTTTGGAGTCGCTAGCGGCAAAGAGGCAAAAAAAGAGAGGCACCTGCAAAGAGGGAAAGATGCCCACGATGCCACCTGCCGGGCCTTTTTTTCTGCCGCCCGCGTGCACTCGCAGCAACGCAGGTGACCATGCGAGTCGAGACCCGCCTTTTCGGCTCTCCGCCTGCTCTGCTGGGTCTCTTTGGGATGGTCCCGATTACGTAGTTTGAGGGTACGGCGCGAGATGCTGTGCATGCGGCGCCGCGGAAAGTATCTGGGGGAGAGCAGGCTAAGGCGGCTTTTCAATTATACGCGCATAACAGACTGTACGAGTACGAAGTACCTTGCAACCTTCAGCTCCAAGCTTGCAGTACCTTATCTCTCACCCAGCGGTTAGCGTGTACGTGGTAGGTAGGTAGGGATGGCACTCAAAAGCACTGGGCTGTAAACCTGGCATTACGCAGGACTAGGTACCTTATCAACAGCAGCCACAGCAGTCACTCGTCTTTGCCTGGAGCTTCACTGCGTCCGAGGCGTTATCCCGCCGGTATCATGCATGTTGTGGCATGGAACATCAACAGGCCTTGACGATGTTGATGTCATTACGCGTATTAGCAGTATCTTGTAAATCGACAAGGTGCCTAAGTGTAAGGTATGCAACCAGTTGCTGAAATCGAATCATGGTAAGTGTCTCAGAGCGAAATAAATCGTGATAGCATCGTCGACATGCCAAGAAGCCCAACAAGCGAACAGCAGCAGCTCCTCGCCCATGATTCTTTCACACTACAGACACGAGAGATACAGACGGAGTAGCGAGGCCAACCCGAAGCTCCCACGTCGCGAATCATATTGCTATTTATTAGTACGTATTCTAAGCGTTGATACTCAAGTAACCAAAAGATGTATGCCTCATGTGCTCCCCATTGTGTGAATTAAGCGCCACCCCAAGACAAGTTTTCTCTTCCCTCGGCTGGTTCCCCGCCAGCCCATCCCAGATTCCTCGCACTATCATAGGTAGAACTAAAGAGTGCAAAGCAAGAGAAGAGAACGAAACGACAAGAAAAAGCGAAAAACTCCGGCTACGTACGTGAAATGCCGCGACATGCCATATACAAACGCACCCTCTCCATCTATTTTGCAGTAATTGTCATAACTCGCCAACATGGCGAAGACCATCTCCCTTTGCCAAAACGGAACACTCCCTTTCCCGGTCCCTTTTCACCTCCCCTTGCCTGCATGTCTCCAGTGAACAGTACGGTATGTGCCCACCGACAGCTGCACTACCCCACAATCCGCGCCCTTTAACTCATGTTTCTCGTATACCCAAGAGAAAACAGGGGTGAAGTAGAGCAAAGCGATCAAAGCCTCAGTTCCTTGAGAATTTGTTCGGCCATATTCTTGTACTGCCAGGTGTTTCCAGTCATTCTCTTGAACTGGATGCCATGCAGAGAGAGCAGAGGAACCTTGACAATGAAAATCTCAAATTCCATCACCATGCTGCCTCCCAGGTCGCTCTGCACCTGCGTCGTCGTCTCTCCGGGCACGCGCCTCGATGCTCCTCCGCTCCTCCGGGGGATGCTATCCACCGATTCTTCGGAGTTGGAGTAGCTGTGGTCACGGTTGCGATCCCGGTCTTGTCGTCCAGGGGTCCTTGGGGCCGCGGAAGATCGCTCGATGTCGCGAATATCCTCGCGATCACGGTCTTCGCCTCGCATGAGGCCACCAAAGCTGAAACGCCGGCGGTGCCCAGGGTTCTGTGAAGGCGGGCTGCCTGGAGTATCTTGTACCCTGTTCAAGTCGATGCTTGGCGTGTACTTGCAGCTGAAGCCTCCTCGAATCTCGATATAGTCGACGTTGAGCTGCTTCAGAACCCTTCGGATATCGGCACGAATGGCCGGAACCGACTTCCCGGAAGTGGTCGAAACGCTGAATAGTCCCTTGAGGTAGACCGGCTTCGCCAACTCAGCGCTATCCAATCGATCAGTGGAAACGCCGCTCTGTTCCTGCTCCACATCCGTTTCCTCGGGCACATTGGATTCCTGGGCGGCTTCTCTACGGAGCCGACGCTGCTGAACGCTCTCACGCCGCGCATGTCCCAGTGATTTCGCTCTCATTGCCATGGACTGCGAGTGTGCATGGCCTCTCTGGACCGTTGAGGACTGTTCGTTTGCATCGGATTGGTCTGAGCCGCTTGTCAGGGGCGGCTCTCTGGCCGACATGCTGCTGTTGTCTCGTCGGCGAAGGTCCGCTGAGTTAACGCTGGTCGATCGGCCAAGACCAGATTTCCGCGATCCTCGAACGCCACCGGCAGACATCGGGGGGCTCAGAAGCTCGCTATGTTGCGGGTGGCTGCCACCAGAGGGTAGCGCAGGACGACTCTGGTCGTCACGCTCTCGCCGTCCACGTCGAATACTGAAGCTCTTCCTGGGCGCCGTAGGGGCTGCCTCGGGGGGCGAGTGAACGTGAACCACGGGAGGGTGAGATCGATCTCTCTCCTTCTCCGACCGATCAGGTTCCCTGCGTTTCCGAGTGCTGAAGCGGCGGAGCAGGCCGGCAGCGGTGCCCTCCTTCTTTTGCAGCTGCTCAGCCTTTGTTTCGGGCACTACAGGCACATGCTGCTGCTTCACCAGGTCCGGCGCATCGTCTTCGCCGTGTGTACGAGCCCGAGGTCGAGTTCGTCCACCCGTAGGTCTCTCACCCGGCATCTCGTACGTTGCGGCATTGGTATGGGCTGCTTGAGGAGGTACGAGATCGGGCACGCCTCCAGGAAGCTTGTCACGCTCACGCTCACGCTCGCGCTCTCGTTCTCTCTCCCTGTCACGCTCCCTCTCTCTTTCTCTCTCACGTTCTCGCTCTCGTTCCCTTTCACGCTCCTTCTCCTTCTCCTTTTCTTTGTCGCGTGATGTAGTTGGCGGTGGGTTCATCTCCGCATGCTCGCGATCTTGCTTCTCCTTGACGAGGTAGTAAACAGAGACTAGAGGATTGAATGCATTGAGGGGGTCAACGCCAATCTGCAACGCCTCGGAGCTTGGGCCGCTAAGGGTGTCGCGGCTGTTGGAGTTTCTCCTCTTGTAAAAGTCGAAGCCAAAGCCGCGTTTCTTCTCGCCGTCTTTGGCGGGCTGCGGCTGCTCCTTCTCGCGTTGGTATGCCTTGACGGCCTGTTGATACTCCTCGGACTCGATGACCTTGAGAAGCTGAGCACGAATGGTCTCAGGAGAGCCAAAGTTGAATCCCTGCATGGCGTGGATGACTTCTGTGTCCAGGTCGGTAGTGAGCGGCTCTCGAACGGGAAGATAGTTGTCAGGGGGGCCACTGAATCCCTTGACCATCCATGGGTGGTTCATAACTTCCTGCATGGTGGCTCGCTGTTTGGGATCCGTTACCAGCATTCGGGACATGAGGTGTTTGCATTCTGAAAGGTAAATCGACATTAGCAGTCTGTCAACGACATCAGTGAGATGTCTGAAGGCGATGGGTGCTTACCATTTGAAAGCCAGCTCGGATAGTCCACCAGCCCCTTTTTGATCTTTGCATGAAGAGCAGGCATGCTCTGGTCGTCAAAAGGAACCTTACCACAGACAAGAACATAGAGGACGATACCAAAGCTCCACACATCAACCTCGGGCCCCGTGTATGCTCTTGCCTGCAGCAGCTCAGGAGCGGCGAAGTAGAGACTTCCGCAGAACGTCTTGAGATGACCACGAGGCGAGAACAAGTTGCTGAGGCCAAAGTCAATGATCTTGATGTCGCCGGTCTTGCTGATGAGGATGTTTTCGATTTTCAGATCGCGGTGCACGATGCTGTTTCGGTGGCAATAGTCGAGCGCGCTGGCGATTTGGCGACTAAACTTGCGCGCCTGCTTCTCCTTGAGTTTGCCATGGGAAATGATGTAGTCGAGCATCTGGCCGCCATTGACGTACTCAAAGAGCATGTACCAGTGGTAGTTTGTACGGACGACATCCCGCATGCCACAGATGTGAGGGTGGTGGAGAAGGGTGACGATGGCAGCCTCGCGGGCAGTTCGAATTTCCTTGGACTGATCCGCGCGCTCCTTTTCAGCCCGGCTCTGGTGGCCGTCATCGGTAGAGCCGCGGGGAATGATTTTGCAGGCAACCTTTGGAAAAGTGTTAGCAGATGGTGTCACAATCCAGACACTACCGGCATATGTCACGCCGAAAAGCAACGGGGGAGAGCCAAGGGTAGCTTGCGAACCTGTTCACTGCCATCTTCTTTGCGAGCCAGCTTCACCTTGCCCATGCTACCGGCGCCGATGGTCTTGCCCAAAATCCACTTCCCCGACTGCGTGGGAATGGTGGTGCGCGACCTGGACTGTTTGGCGCTGGAGGCGTGCGTCGCGTCGGCGGCACCATGGGAGGCGCTGTGCGACGCAGGGGCGGCGCTGCCATTGTTGTTGACGGCGGAGGGAGGCATCTCGGGATGGCCTTGACGGTTGTGTGCGGAACGGATGCTGGTGCTCCTTCGATGGGATCGAGAGGCGTCCGCGGCCCTGTTATTAGAGGAGAGCGGTGGGCGATCTCGGCTGGAGCTGCGCTTGGACTGGGATGCGGCTAGATGCGAAGTTTCGTAGTCATTTTGAGCCGACGGAGGCTCCTGAGCTTGGCGGGACGAGGACGAGCTGCGGCGACGGTGGCGAGGCTGCTGCTGTTGCTGCTGCTGAGTCTGGTACTGCGCCGCGGATTGGACGTGGTTCTGGTTGTAGCTCTGGCTGTAGCTCTGGCTCTGGCCCTGGCTCGTGCCTGTGCCTGGGTTCTGGCTCTGAGCTTGGCCTGGCTGGTACTGATGATGATGGTGATGGTACGTGGAGCTGCCGTTGGGGTTGGCAGACGGAGCAGCCGCGCCGCCAGAAGAGGGTACAGCTGGCACGGGAGGGGGGCGGGAGCGTGTGGAATATGACCGGGATGGGGCTCGCGAGGGGGAGGTGTGGGAGAAGTCGGAGCCTTGAGACGCTGTGGTTGTCATGGCGAGTCGGTCAAAGTGGTCGAGGAGCGCTGCTGGGGAGTGCCAGGGCCGGCCTCGGGCTGCAAAAAGGCGCAGAGAGACGCCGTCGAAGCCGTCAAACGCTGGGCGAGGCGAGATTGGAGCAAGGCAAGGCCCGCGTGCGTCACGGAAGCATCAATGTCCCTCCTCTCTGCTGCGAGATAAAAAAGGAGAAGATCCACGCGTTGTCGGGGCGAGGGCTGGGGGTGCGAATGGATCAAATGGAGACAGGACAGGACAGGCACGGGCTCGGGCTGGGAGGTAATAGGCCGGTAGGCTGGTAGAGGCTGGTCGAGGCAGATAGCACTGGAGGCCGGTAGGATGAAGGTAGGATGGATGAGGTAACGCAGCGCCGGGGGTGCGGGACGCAGCCAATGTGCTGATTCCACGAGCTCAGGTCTTGGGGGGGAGGAGGCAGAAGAGGTGCGGAACAGGTACCTGCGAGTACAGGTACGGGTACCCTTCCAGGTTATCTCGAGACGGTGCCACGCAGCGGAAATCCCACCGGACAGGTTAGATGGAGGTAAGTATTCGTACTGCTGGCTGAGCGAGCAAACAGAGGACTGGATATAGCAACAAGCAGGATTTTGGGCGCTCGCTGCCCGTGCTACGGCAACTTCAAGTTCAGGTCGGTACAGGAGCTGCTACTCCGCAGCGTTGTTCAGTGCCTTCGCCCGTTGACTTCGAACCCGGCGCTGTGAGCCCACCATAGCGGTACCTGCGTACGAGACCGGGAGGTACCTGTTACTTTATACATGTACCGTGTACCTCAGATGCTTCAATTCATATCGGACACGGAAAATACGCCTTGAACTTTGATAAACAACAAAACCACCACTTCAATTCCACTCCCATCTGCCAGAAACAGCCCGCTTTCCGCAGCTTGTGCTTCGGACGTCCACACAGCAACTCGTCCAGTTGCATGAGCCCAACTCCAGAGCTCGTGGCCGCATCTGGCTCGCTGGATCTTAGCGCACCCAGGGGCTCTGAGTCGCTCAGTGGCTGGCCGGGGGCTGGGCGACAGCTCATCTACGCATCCCCTCAGGCGCCATTACAGCTGCATAGCTCCACAGCAGCACATGTTCCTTGATGGAGTCAACCTGAGATGAGAACGTCAGAGCTGTTGTTCGCCGGTACAGAAATGCCTGAGCCGGAATTTGGGCATCTGTGCTCCATTTCTTTGTCCTCGACGATGCAGCAGCATCGAGGGCCACACAGACGAAAACATGCGCCTTGTTTTCTCCGCTGGTCCTTTGTTCGCCCTGAAGCCCCCCTTTGTACACTCCTTACTCCCTATTTGTCTTGTTGTGTTACGGAGGCCCCGTGCTTTGCTCTCCTCCGCCGTGTTTGTGGTGACTGGGGTCAAATTCCGTGTTGCCCTTGACGCAAACACCCCCACGATGGACAATGCATCACTTCAATGATCAAAGAGACAGCCAGCATGGATTAAGTGCCCCTATATTGCAGAGTTGGATGCCATTTAATTACAAGTAGAATTACGCTAAGAATCTCATGTAGCTTTATTTCGCAGCCCCGCGAATAGAAAGAGCATCAATAGCTCCAGATAGTAGTACATACTGTAGGCGCAGGATGGGCTTGGAACCACATCTCCTACTACTACCTCACAATCAAGGACGACAATCAACCTAACTGACATGTACATAAGCTTACGACTGAAGCACGTCACCAAAGCCGGAGCATGTGCAGCGGGATTGAATTGGCGTCGATGACACTGAGATTATGTGGATGAACTTCCACTGAGCAAAGCCAAAGGGCAACCCGGAAGCGGCAAATGGCTATCAGCTTGACCCTGGCAGATGGGCACGTCACGATACCTGGCTGGAGCCTGCGAGGGTGCTCAGGTAGTTCCTGGTACTTGGTGAGGAGCAGCTGGAAGCACAGCATTGAGGACCTGCTACCTGTTCGGTCCAAGGTTATCTGCCTCAGCATGGAGTGGTACAGTATTACGAGATCACGAAGAGCCGATTGCGTTGAGCTGAAGCCGGAATCTGGTTGGCTGTTAGTGAGGTGGGTGAAGAGCGGCAGCTGGCAGGCTAGTACGTATACAGTCAAGTGGGCATCCATGGAGTCTCTCAACTATCGATAGCGCAGCAACCTCCAAGTTCAGTTGTTCCTGGACGTACCGACATTTCGTTCCCATGTTCATCCGTCCAGCTCAACTGACATCGCCATTCCTCTTGCTGCCTCGCCGCGGCCTCTCTATGTGACGCACCTACACCTTACTCTGAGCTGTATCGAGGACCCCCTTATCTCCACTTTGCTTGAACGCGACAACTACCCGAATACAAAACCCTATGTCCTACAAAAGATCTCGAGCAACATTCGAGGCCGACCTCCATGCGCCATACGCCATCTTCGGCACCCCTTTGCCTGAAGAGGGCGAACGCGACGATGGCTCATATCTCCCACTGTGGAAGCAGGAGGTGAGGGATGAGAAGGGCAGGCGGAGACTGCACGGAGCATTCACTGGCGGTTGGAGCGCAGGGTGAGTCGCAGCTCTCTGTCCCCCATCCGATCGCCAACGTCTGACCGTTAAAAAAAAAAAGCTATTTCAACACGGTGGGATCCAAGGAGGGATGGACACCGAGCACCTTTGTTTCGAGCCGCTCGAATCGCCGCAAAGATGACTCTGGCCGTTCGCAGCAGCGCGCCGAAGACTACATGGACGAAGAGGACCTTGCAGATGCCGCGGAAGCGCAGACACTCAAGACCACCCAGGCGTTTGCCGGGCTAGGGTCATCGACACAAGAGGAGCTCCGTTCCGGAGGGTTGATGGGTCTCTTGAGAGCGGACGGGGATACAATGGGCTTGAAGCTGTTGCGAAGGATGGGCTGGAAGGATGGTCAGGGTATTGGACCCAAAGTGCGACGGAGCGCACGTCTTGACGTGGGCACCAATTCCAGCGTGGCAGATGGCGAGATGCATCTCTTTGCGCCAGACAATGCCGAGGTCATGCGGTTCATCCGTAAGACAGATCGAATGGGTCTAGGACATAACGGACAGAGGAAACTTTCCGCGCTGCGCCATGACAGCAAAGCTGATAGTGACGAGGAGGACGTCCCTCGTGATGGCGCGTTGTCAATATTGTCCCGGAGTGACACCAAGAAGAAGCCTCAGCGAGGCGGCATTGGCGTTGGCATCCTCAACGATACTGGTTCCGACGTTGAAGACGCTTACGAAATGGGGCCCAAGATCAGGTACAATCGCGTCATTGGAGGCGATAAGAAGAAGAAAGGAAAGAAGCTTTCTGCCGCAGCAAATCCGTCGCTGAAAAACGCACCAGTCTTTATACCGAAGACCGCCAGAGCCGGGGGCAGCTTGAGGAGATGCCAGGATGGGCGGCTTCCTCTGGACGGGTTCGTCCTCGCCAGTGCTACGCCGGACCTGACCGCTGCCCTGGCCAGATATGCACCACCGCCAGTTCCACCAGGCTGGACGTCATCCAAGGCAGCGAATGTCCATGGTCAGCCAGGCACGTTTATCTCAGCTGCGGAGGCGGCAAGATCATCGACCCTCGACGCTAAATCGCGAGCCGCCATTCTTGGAGAAGCGCCTCTCCCTGGGAAATCCGTGTTTGACTACATATCTGCCGATGCTCGACAGAAGTTGGCTGCGGCGTCCGGAAGAGCAGACTTGCCTCCCGGCCGCGGTGAGGTCCCGGAGGGATATGCCATGTCAGAAGAAGAAAGGCAAGCAATGTTATGGGAGCAAGCTCCGAAGCTTGATCGTGAAACGGCGGTGGCGGCAATCGCTCGGGGGCTACGAGGACCTTATTCAGATGACGAGGCCAAACGCGCCCGCTACAAACGCTATCTGGAACACCATACCAACCCCAAGCTGTCGCCGCCGGAGAAGCCCAAGGGAATGTCGGATGACGAGTTTCTGCGAGAATTGACAGAATTCCACAACTGCGCGAGGATCTTCAAGCCAATGACTGGCTTTATGGCATCGAGGTTCACAACGGCCAAAGCGCCACACGTCATTTCAGCGGACGCAGCACGAGAAAAGGAGCTGATCTCTGCGCCTGAGCCAAAGCTCTCCGATCCGGCAGAAGAGGCTGCCAAGATGGGCATGTTTGGCCATATGACGAGATCGGTGGAAGATTTCTACCCTACGCGATTACTTTGCAAGCGATTCAACGTGAAACCCCCTGCACACGCCCGACGAGACGACGAGCCCGAAAGCGGCAAAGCAGCTCCAGGCTCGAGTGCAAAGCCGACTTATGGCAACCCTATGGACGATGTGGAGATGCCATTGCTATCTGCATCTCGAACGTTGAACGAACCCCCCGTGGGCGCGGAGGTAACCGCCGCAGCGGCGACGGGGACAACGATACCACCTCGCAAACAGTCCCCGACATTAGAAGCCAAAGGAGGCCAAGTGAATCCCGACCGAAACGAAGCTGTAGAGGGGCAGACGGCCAATGTTGAAGTCTTGCGAGCCATTTTTGGAGACAGTGATAGCGAATGACATGCAGGGGGATATTGGAAGAAGCGACTCGACAGAGCCTGCAGTACATATTCCCATGCCCTGCGCGTGAGTGTGTGTGTACGGTTCTGAACATGAAGTGATACTCCTGGAGTCATCGCCTGGCGCGAGCTGAATGATTCCTGCTCGTCAGCCTCGATTTAGCGGATCACATGAAATGAGTACAAATTTTAGGCGTGAAATTGGCCCCTTTTGGTGCGAGCCTCTTTGTATTCAATATTATCTGTGCCAGGAGCAGGTTGCTTCATGCTGTGCTCCAGCTGTGATTTTTCCTTCCCCCATCACTGTTGGCTGGCGGCTAATGTGAAGCTTGGTGTGGCTGGAGCTCTGCGATTGGCCGATGGGTGTGCCCAATTTAGCCACCCGTTCCATCGGCAGTGGGGCCCATGGCCAGCCAGGCCGTTTCCTCAGAGGCTAGCATGGCCTAAACCGCCTGTAACTTTGGCGGAGGAGCCCCTAAAGGGCTGCTGGAACCTCGCTGGCCACGAGCACATTTGCAGCGGACCGGCCTATGGCGTCGCCTGGATTGTGCTCCACCAAGGCCATCAACTCATCCACCTCTCCTGCTAACCAAGTGGCAATCCCATCGTCAACCTGGAACGTATCAATCAATCAATCTGCGGCCATCAGCAGGCAGGCTTACAGCTCTAGTTCAGCCCAGCAACCAGACACGGATATCCAATCTCCAGCCGCTGGATTCCACTGCCGCAAAAGCCTTTGTTCGCAGCCGAGGACTTTGCTTGCCTCCTCCTATCTTCACACCTACCTACCTCTACTGCCTTACGGAGTACGAAGCAGTACTACCAGCAGCAGCATCGATCTTCTTTCGCTGGTGACAGAGCCAGATGCACTGACCCGCCCGAGGCAATCTCCCTTGTCAGCCGCCCCCGTCGCCGTCGCCATCACCGCTCCCTCGCCGAAACGAGCCTCTGTGCTGTGCAGAACAATCCGCCACATTGTCTGAGACGGACGAGCCTGGAACCGGACCGTCTGAGTCCTCGGAGCTGATCGAGGCCAAGGTGCATCGCGAGCACGAGCACGAGCACGCCGCTACAGCCAGCGCTGCCCGACAACAGCTGGATCTCGAGCTAGGTCAAGACGCCGCAGAGAGCGAGAGCGCTGCCCACGAGGCCGAACAGTCGCCGCCGCCGCAGTACCCCGTCTCGGAGGCTTCGTCGTCTTCCCGTCCGCCGCCGTTCTCGTCGCTCTTCTCGTCGGTCCAAGACCATCCCAGCAGCGAGCCCTTTGGCAAGTTTCCTGCCGTCGCCCCGGAAGGAAGCGCTTCTGCATCCATCGCCGCTCCCGCATACGGCTACGACTCGGATTCCCGCGCCCCGGAGCCGTTTGACCCTGATCAGGCCGCCGCGCGCGCCTTTCAAGACCCTGTCGCCGAGACCAAGCGCGCCCTCCCCAGAGACACCAAGGGAGAGTCGAGTCGAAAGGACGACGACGCCGAACCGCCGCCCGCTTACTCGGAGGGGGATAGTCCTCTCCTAACATTCTCATACGTCATGGCGGCTGCCGGAGGAGCGTCGAGTATCATTACTCAGGTCCAGCAAGGCGGACCACCCATCAATGCCATTGGGGGTGAGTTGCATTATCCCAAGTCTGCCTTGTCGGATATTCAGAGGAGCATAAGAAGGAGCCAGAAGAAAGAGAGGATGGGGAGAGCTGGATCAATGGCGAGATCAGAGTTGCTAACGATATCCCAGATGTTGGCGCGGATGAGACAATCACGATGGACCTTCGGTAAGCGAATCTTTCGTTGACAAGGAGGTAGAAAGAGAAGAAACGTAAACGAAGACCCTGCTAACACACCGGAACAGGGGTACCAGGTTTGTTCTATCGCGCGATGAGCTGCTCACCCTGCCCGAGTTCGTTCTGTTATCTCTCTTCCCCAATGGGCTGTTTCCCGAAGGCCACATGAGCGGGTTTCCCGATAGCGATGCGGTTCAAGTTGACGTTCGTAAACCACCATTTTCACAAGCGCCACAACGTACTAACGGCCAAATAGTATGACCCAGCATCGTTGCAATACATGCTGGACTTCTTCCGGAATGTGGCTCAGTCAATCCCTACCGAATCATCGCCTGGCGCGTCCCAGGACGGGGAGATTGTTCCGCTGGATCCCATGGGCTCCCGGGAGGATACCTCGAAAAGAGCCGGCATCATCGTGCTGAGAGAAGACCTTGATTTCTATGCAATCACCCCCAACTCGACCATCACCAAGCCCGATATGATCGAAGTCAAGCGCGCCGCGGCGCGTGCGTTGCTCAAGCAAGATGGCATCTTTTCTGGGCTCAAACGAAGCGATGAACCCGGAACGACTGAGGCTCACCTGATTGAGATGCTGACAGCAGGGTAAGGCCTTAATGGATTTTCTGATATGCTTCTTGCTCCGTTCTGCCTTCTTTCTTAAGCTTCTAATTACCACTTTCCCCTCTCTACACTGTTCTGTTAGAAATCTTCTGCTAACCTTATACTCGGCAGAGGCTTCAACCACGACGATCGCTGGGGCCACCGAGCAGGCGAACCTAACAAGGCCGTCATCTGCAGTCTCGCACTGGCTCGGTTGCGCAGCGACATTCGCGGCAACGAAATGGGCAACAATGCCGTCGGCATGGCGCAGAAGCTGCTCCTGTTCTGGCGAAAACCGGCCAGGCGGTGCTGGTGGGAGGGTATCGAGCTGGAGAACGTCGAGGGCGTTGAGGGCAAGCTCAAGGTATGGATCCGGCGAGTGTGGACGTTGGAGATGAGCGTGATTGGACTCCGTTGATGGCATACACATGGAGCAAGGGTGCTGAAGAGAGTTTGTTGAAAGGAGCGATTATCATTGGCCTGTTCTTTTGTTCGTCTTTTGTTCTTTTCTTGAAGGGCGTCAGGGTATACAACAGATCCGGATTGGTGTTGATTCCAGAGCACATCGCCTGGTTTACATGTTACTTCTACCTGTTTCTTACATAGCTACCTACCCTTTGGTTTTCTCTCTGTAGGGTATTGTTTGATCTGTTTTTTTGCTTTCTGCTTTGCGTCTGCCATGCACCTTGCTATTTCGTGTCTGTTCTAGCCCGCCAGTTATGAATGACATGGAGGCTCTTCCCTCTCTGGTGTATATAAAGTTCCATTGGCGGGGGGTCTATATTCCTGATGTATTGCCTGCACAGATATAAATGATTTGAATGGGCGAAAGCTGAATGTTTTGGATGAGAAATCTCACTGTATAAGGTAGAATTGCATCGGTACTCTACATACATACTTGGGAGATAGACGTCCGTGTCTGTAGTAGCAGGTGAGCACACAGACAGATTCTCCGCACACGTGCCTTTTTACACAAGACTCCGCCCTTGGCTGGATTCAGCACGTTGGTTAATGAGGCGAACTAGATACAGTAGGTGTTATTCCGCCTCAAGTCCCCTACCGACACGATGCCAGGTGCCTATTTTCGGGAGCTGCCGCTCTATTGAATCAGGCTCGTGGATAATGCCCAGTTCGATCCTACCGTGCAGGATCCCGCCAGGGCGCTGTGGAGAGCCACCATTCACATGGCGCTGATTTGGCCAGTTTGCCCCCTTGAACTCCATCAGGACTCCAGCGATCGACGTCGTGACTTGGACTTCTGGATTCAGGGTCTGGCCAACGGGGGGTTTTCTGGCCGTTGACAATTCATTGTAGCAGTTGGACTGCGGGCGACTCTCTTTTTTTGTTGGCTGATTCCCCTTCTCCTTTAGCATCTGAGCGACTATTATCTTGGATTATCTGGCTGTATTCGATCATCTGGCGTTCCTCCGTCTCTACGCTCCTTGGGCTAATTCGTCCATGTACTGACTGCCTGCCACCGCGCAGGACGAGATGAAGAGCAGCATCGACTCATCAACATGGGGATAATCAATGGCTTCAGCCTGCCGCGCCGAATCGGCCGCCTGGTGCTGTTTAGCGGCCTCGTGCTGACCGCGTTGGTCGTGTATTACCTGACCTCGGCCGGCCGAGTCCAGCCCGTCTTCGTCCCGAGCTCGTTCGACTGGTCGGCGGTGCAGCAACATCACGGCGTCAGGGACGTCAAGCCGCTGCCCACAGGCAAGCCGGCGGCGCTTCCCAGGATCCAGGCGGAGCCCAAAGCCTTTGGCCACTCCGCGGTCAACGAGAAGCGGCGCAATGCTGTGCGACGGGCCTTTAAGCGCAGCTACGATGCCTACAAGAAGTACGCATGGATGAGAGACGAGCTGACGCCCGTGTCTGGATCGGCCAAGGATCCCTTTGGCGGCTGGGCTGCCACGCTGGTCGACTCCTTGGACACGCTGTGGATCATGGGCTTCAAGCATGAGTTCGCCGAGGCTGCGGCCGCCGTGGGCGCGCTGGACTGGTCCGTGACGGACTCGACGGCGGCCAACATGTTCGAGACGACGATCCGTCACCTGGGAGGGCTGCTGAGCGCCTACGACCTGAGCGGCGAGCGTGTTTTGCTGCGCAAGGCGGTTGAGCTGGGCGAGATGCTGTACCTGGGATTCGACACGCCCAACAGGATGCCCGGCTTCTGGCTCGACTTTGCAAAGGCCAAGTCGGGGAAGCTGGTGGCCGGGACCAATGATCCGTCGGCGTCGCCGTGCTCGCTGAGCATGGAGTTTACAAGGCTGTCGCAGCTGACGGGCGACAACAAGTTCTACGATGCCACGGATCGGGTGACGCGCTTCCTGGAGAGGATCCAGAACGACACGCTGCTGCCGGGCATGTGGCCAACGACGCTCAACTTCCAGTCCGAGACGGCTGTGGACAGCAGCTTCACGCTGGGCGCGCTGGCGGACTCGCTGTACGAGTATCTACCCAAGATGCATGCGCTACTGGGGGGCGTTGACGATGTCTACGAGAGGCTGTACCGCAAGGCCATCGATGCGGCGGCGAACAACCTAATCTTTAGGCCCATGCTGCCGGACGAGGACGACATCCTGTTCAGCGGCGAGTTCAATGCTAGAGGTGGGCTCTCGGCTGACAGCCAGCACTTGACCTGCTTTGTCGGTGGCATGTTTGCGCTGGGGGGCAAACTCTTCGACATTGACGGCCACGTCGACATTGGTGAGCGTCTGGCGCGAGGGTGCGGCTGGGCGTACAGCCGCTTCCCCACGGGCATCATGCCCGAGATCTTTGGCATGTTGCCGTGCAAGTCACTGGATACGTGCCCCTGGGACGAGGAGCGCTGGGACAAGGAGGGCGGCAAGACGCTGCCCAAGGGCTTCACGCACGCGCGCGACAAGCGGTACATTCTGCGGCCCGAGGCGATTGAGAGCCTGTTTGTGCTGTACCGCGTCACGGCCAAGGCGGACCTGCAGGACACTGCGTGGGACATGTTTGAGGCCATTATGAAGGCGACGGAGACGGAGCTGGCGAACTCTGCGATTGAGGACGTGACCGTTCAGGGGCCGACGAAGAAGCTCGATTCGATGGAGGTGAGTTTTACTTGATTCTGATTTTACTTGGCTGGTTGGAGGTTGACCATGGGCTAATCATTTGTGTCTTTACTCCCTCCTAGAGCTTTTGGATGGCAGAGACGCTCAAGTACTTTTATCTCATCTTTTCGCCTCCCGACGTGATCAGCTTGGATGAGTACGTGCTGAATACGGAGGCACATCCCCTCAAAAGGCCGGGAGTTGAGCTGAGATGAGGCCGAATGAGAGGTAGGGATGGAACGAGGCGGAATGATAGACGGACAGCATTGTTTACCAGGCTTGAGCGAGTTCTATACGACTATCCACTATACCTATATACACGATGAGAGGTGCCCCTCTTCGAAATTCTCTCTTGCACTGGAGCCGCAGCCCCTGAGGGTGAGCCATGAAGCATGCGTGCGTTGCGTGATATCTTACCTTGCCTCACGATCCCTTACTAAGTACCTACCTGCCCGACCTCACCATATCTGACCGACCACCTAAAGCGTCAAGTCCTGTGAGGCTTTCCCCATCATCTGCTCCGTGCCTGGCCTCCAGATCCAGGGGAAGAGCGCCTCCGCCTGAGCAACTGCCACAAATCCGGGGATCTCGATGCGCTCCTTACCTCAGCTGTGCACAAACTACATTACACCTTCAGCCCTTCCCTCTTATTGGCTCCTCCCCAGCGCTCCAACGGCAACAGCACCTGCTCGTCTCGCGTGTGCCAATGGCAAGAGAGACGATAGACGTCAATCAATGCCTGTTCGAGGCTGCATTTGACTTCCCAGGAACTCGCAACTTCCCTTCTCAACTGAGGGAAAGCACTCTCACCCTCTCTTGCTTCCAGGCCGTCCACGAGTATAAAATCCCCCCGATTTCCCAACGCGTCCCAAACTTGAACCTTTTCCCGCTCACAGCCCTTATTCCCAGTATCGTCAATCCATATCGTTAGAGATGGCGGCTCCGACAATGGCTCGATCTGCCCCTCACATGTTGCTGGTGGTCCTCCTCGTCTTCCTCTTCGGCAGCTGCACCGCGCAGAACTGCACCACCAACAACCTCATGACCACGTATCCCGCACCCGTGGCAGCAAACGGCTGGGAGTACCGCCTCATCTCAACCGGGTTGACCGCACCGCGATCGATCGTCTTTGATTCCACTGGCGGTCTGCTGGTGCTGGACGCCGGAGTTGGCGTGCGTCGTCTCACTCTGCAGGACAACGGCGGGACTTGCTTGAGTGTGACGGCCAACACGACGCTGATTGCGGACACGGCTGTGAGTGATCTGATGAGTGACTGACGGACATGAGTTCCACATTGGCTGATGAAGAAACACACGCCAGCTCAATCATGGGCTCGCCATCTCAGCTGATGGCGCCACCATCTACGCCTCCACAGTCAACGACGTCTACGCGTACACGTACAACGAACAGACCAACACCGTTGATCCCACCACGAGACGGACTCTCGTCACCAACATGACCAACACGGATCACGTCACTCGCACTCTGCTCATCTCACAGAAACTGCCAAACGAGCTCCTGGTTTCCAGGGGCAGCGCCGCCAACGAGGATCCCCAAGCTCGCAACGTTACCAGTGGACACTCGCAGATTCGTGCCTACGACCTCTCCACGCTTGCACCTACGGATCCGCCCTTCGATTTCGTTGCTGGCACGCTCATTGGCTGGGGTCTGAGAGACTCAGTTGGTGTCGGCGAAAACCCTACGACCGGCGGCATCTTCTCTGTTGAGAACTCCGTCGACGACCTCACGCGCGAGGGCGTGGACGTACACCAGGACAATCCCGGCGAAGAGCTCAACTTTCACGGCATCTTGGGCAACGCTGCCAACCAAGGAGGCAACTATGGCTATCCCGACTGCTATGCCCTCTGGTCAACGGCAGGGTTCCCTGATCTGGGGACTCTCGAAATTGGTGACCAGTTTGCCTCGGACAACGCAACGGCTGGCGTGACAGACGCTACTTGCAACACGGACTTTGTTGATCCTCGACTTGTTTTCCAAGCGCATGTCTCTCCTCTGGACATCAAGTTCAACACCAATGGCACGACAGCGTTCATTACCTTCCACGGCAGTAGTAAGTTGGCTTGGACCCAACCCTTTCTGACCCATGCCGCATGCCGCATGCTGACTCTGTTGAAGCGGATCGAACTGTTCCCGTAGGTTATAGCATCGTCGCCGTTGGGTTCGGCTTGAATGGCCAGCCTACTGCTCCGATGGACAGCACCACGGCTGCAAACAACATCATTACAAGCCCAGACCTTTCCCAGTGCCCCGAGGACTGCTTCACACCAGTGGGCCTTACGTTTGATACTATTGGCCGCCTCTTCTTCACGTCGGACACCACTGGCGAGATTTTCGTCCTTCAGCAAGCTGCCGACGACGGCAATGGAGATGGTGACGGCAATGGTGACGGCGACGGCAATGGTGATGGAGATGGCAACGGTGACGGTGACGGCACTGGCGACGGCGACGGCACTGGCGACGGTGATGGCACTGGCGACGGTGACGGTACTGGTGATGGTGACGGTACCGGAGACGGTGATGGCACAGGCGACGGTGATGGAGGTACCAATGCTGCGAATGGACTGACGTCGACGTGGCCTGTCGCTGTAGGGGCTGCCCTTGCCTCTCTGATGGCTGGATTCATCCTTGCTTGAACTGAGGTGGTTGTCGATGTCGATTGTCCTCTCATGGGCCTTGAAATCTCTGTATTCTTACCTTGAGTACAGACTCACCTTGCTCTCTTCCTCCTGACTACACTCTTATAGCAATAAAGTATTATTAGCCGCCGAACAAGCACAATCGTGTTTCGTGAAGGACCTTTCGGTGATGGAGATGGCCAAAGAGGCACAGAAAGCTACAACTCAAGTACCGCCCCGTGTCTCACTGTGAGATCATCCCGTGATGGCATGAGAGCTGGAGCATTCCAACGTGGATGGAGATTGAGTGGCATGAATGGGGAGCCACTGCTCACGTGTTTATGCAAAGCGTTCGGGAGTCTGAAATGATGCAAAGGATTCGAGGTACGAAGCCATAATCTACTGGTGTGGAGAAGAGTTTGAGGCTCGCAAGGACAAGGGGTTGAGCAGGTGTGCGGATGACCATTTCCACCATGTGCACATTCTTCAGATGTCTGGTTCCTTTCTATTTGTGAAAGAAGAGGGGAGACAGGAGAGGGAAAGGAAGACTAGGAGAATACATATAAAGGGGCCGAAGAAAGACTGTCAAGGAGCATAGACCCCTTGCTCAACATTACCCCTATTACTCAACACCAGCGGCTACACATAGAGCACACAGCAGATACACCCTTTCTCTATTCTCCTGCTGGCAGCACCCAAAGAATGAAGCTCCTCTCCGTCATTCTGGCCGTCATCTCCCTGATGTCCGCGGCAGAGGCGTGCAAGTGCTGGAACCTGGTCGGCAGGCCCGTCTCGGAGTACACGCAGGCGTGCTGCATGTACACGAGCGGCGGCGGCGTCTTCAACCGGACCACGGGCAATTGCGATGGCGATCTCTTTGACAAGCTGGACGCGTTTGCGCAGTGCTGCGAGAACTTGGCGGCGTTTTCGGACTGCTCGTGTCCGGAGTGCGATTGAGGAGGGATGAGAGGAGGAGGGGGCTTGGGCTGGGGAGGATGAACGAGGGGGAGAGGAAGGTGTTTTTGGGGGCTGTGGGGGACGGACGGGGGAGTGAGAAGCAGAGTGTGCAGTGGATGGGGTGATGCTTCGAGGAGGTCGATGTAGATGAAGGGGAGGTTGAGGGTAGTATTTGAGTGGTGTGGGATTGTCGTCTTCTGATGTTTCGAGTACGGGAGACGTTGAGGCATATCAAGGGTATTATGTGTCGTCTATCTGTTAAGCATGGCCTTGTTTGAAGTTGCTGAGGAGGAATCGATCTATGCTGTTTGATTGGTTCGCACGGCGAAGAGCCCTTGCAGTGTGCAAGCTCGGTGAATCAATATCGCGGGCCACATGGCATTGATTGATATCTGAGGCTCCTTCGATTGCTTACCTACCCACCTACTTACCTACCTATCACCTACTACCTCTCGCAGTTGAAGATAGTGCCTGACCTTCACGTCGCATCCAATGGCAACGTCACTGCTTCTTCGACGCTCTGCATTTCAGCTTGCCTCAACCCAGTCCTATCATGGAGTATACGCAGCAAGGCGCTACCTGACTTCCACAAGCATTGTCCTGAAGAAGGCGCGCCGCTCCAACAAAAGGGGACCGCCCGATGCCACTCCGAAGCAATGTTCAGGCAGTTCCCAGACCCAATACTGCTCCGGCGAGAGCCAAAAGGTTGATTGGAAGTCTCACGAAAAGACTTGCGGCAAGACTCAGCCATCGACCGCAACCTCGACCTCTGGAGCCTCAACCACTGAAGCATCATCCTCGGAAGCCTCATCCACGGAGAGCAAGCCTGGTTCATCTCGGCCAACTCACGACATGCCCTTCACTCGTCTTGATCAGGGCATCTGGCTTCACGACCGCCCTGAGATGGAAACCTATAAGTTACTCATCGACGCCTATCGACTTCGCGTCGAAGATGCCTACGTTTTTCGCGGCGAGCTCATGAAAGGCAGTCTCTATGCCACCCGCTCCAGCGGTATACAGGGCTTCCGCAAGTTTTTGGAGAAGGCTGCTACCGTCCCTGACCTTTTGCCCCCGTGGTGGAACGACGAGAAGAAGAGGGCCTGCGAAAATCTGGGCATGGAAGAGTCGCAGTGGTCGAGCCTTAGCTACTGCGTTGAAAAGAGCGACATCATTGATCACTACAAGGATCGTTTGTTCCCAATGAAGCTGCGGATGTTGGGTGAAGCTATTTATGGAGAACATCCGAGTGGTCCTGGTGGAGCTGAGATGCGGAAGCTGATGATGGGGATGGAACAGGGAGGATCGGGTGCGAATGGTGCAAGGGGGGTCATTCATCACATTGACTGGTCGACAGTGATTCGGAGCTTGGGAATAGACATGCGGGGGCTTGGGATGGTGATGCGGATGTTTGGATTCAAATAGCATGCTGCTCGTTGCTATGTGGCGCTTGGATTGTTGCCAAGCATCATTGTGTCGACACCCAGTACCTAGGCACAGGGGATGACATTGGGAGACTTGGCACGGGGTTTGGACTTGACCATCTGGTGGTGGTTCTTGATGTTTCACGAGACTACGAGACACCGTTTGGGCATTGGGCTCGTTTATGTTTGTAACAAAGTTGTCTGCCATGTCAAGTTGGCCAGGAAAGCATAATGTCAGAAGTTCCTGCACCGCCTGCAATACACCGTGTCACATATTTGAGCAGTGTCCTGCGAGTCGTGACTTGATACATGCTCTCAGGATTTCGTTACTTCACAACCTAGCGACCAAATGAGCTCTTGCTCTTCTATTCAATCAAAGGACCAGATATGAGGTAATATACATGTAGCAGATCCAATACACCGTCTCAGTATCCGATCATACAACTGCTCAGCCTAGACAACTACTACTCCAAGTCCAGAGTATCCCAAGCAGCTTTTTCCGTTCAAAGAGTGATCCGGCAACATTAGTTCCCATCATCGTCACAAGGAAAGGAGGCAAAAGGGGAAGAAAAAGGATTCGGCGTCTCAACTCACCGACAATGGAATGGTTCTTGGCGGCATCGACAATCATGTTGCGCCTCAGGCGGGCGATGCCATCAGCCTCGAGCAAGCCGAGGTTGATGACGCACTTTTCGATGGAGCCGTGCTTTTGGCGCAGCTTCTTCAGGAAGCAGAGCATGATTTCCTTTCTGGGGACATGAAAGCATTTAGTTTACTTCTAAGATTCTCCCTCTAGGTAAGGTATAAAGTAGGAAGAAGGGTGTTAAAGAGAGAACTCACCGAGACAGAACCAAAGCTTCGGCATCCTCGCGCGTGCCCGCAAACGCGGGGTGTCCCTGGACCTTGTCAGCAAGCGACTTGTAGTGGCACGCGAGTTCGACGTCTGTGAGGCTGTATTCGTGGGCGACGAGGTCGTCGCTCACGCCGCAGAGGGAGAGGACGAGGGCGCAGATGACGGCGGTGCGGTCTTGGCCTAGGTCGCAGTGGATCAGTATCGGGGACGGCGGGTGGGAAGAGGAGGAGGAGACGAAGACGGAGAGGAAGTGGAAGAGAAGGATGGGGAGGAGAGGTGTTGGAGGATGCGGGCGTAGGGGCGGGATGGGTTCTGCGGGTGGGTTGCGGAGAGGAGGATTTGGGTGAGGGATTCGAGGGGGCCCTTTGGAGAGGTATGATTAGTATATGTCTGTGTCTTTTGATGTAGCTATCATCTTCTTTGTAGCATCTTGTATCATCAAGGGGGTATAAAGGGGATAAGAAAGGGGGGGATAAAAGGGGATAAAAAGTCGTTTAGTACGAAGAAGTCAGGGGCCAAACTCACTTCAACACTCGTCCCAAACCTCTCAAACCGCCCAACCAGCCCATCGGCGCCCTCACAATACTCCTCCGGCCGAAACACGGGCACGCCAACCCGCTCCGTGCCGGCCCAGAGCATCCCCGCCGGATCGTAGCGCGCAGACGTGAGTTCCTGCCGCGAGCGGAGGTCAAACATGTGCGAGATGGCGAGCATCTTGAGCTTCTTGACGCCGCGGTCGAGGACCAGGGTCGGGCGGCCGGAGCGGAAGACGGTGTTGCGGCGGACTTGCTTGGTTGGTTGGGCGGAGAGCGGGTGGCCGCCTATGTCGCGGAAGTTGGGGACGCCGGGAATGCAGATGTATGGTGCGGGAGGCATCTTGAGCGTGGTCAGGGGAGGGGGGAATATGGGATTTGTAGGGGTTGATGAGGAGGATTGGTCGAGGAGCAAGAGTTGTTGTGCCGGATGCGTGCCATCGAGTTCGTCTTATATCGGATCAAAGTATAGGCTCGAAAGGTGTCGAGGCTCTCACTGTTCACTTTCCAAGGGTGACACTCTCTTGGTCCCTTTCACGACTGTTCCTGAAGGCTATGTCACCAGACGTGTCTGAACACGTTTGACAGGGAG